CAGCTGTTGTGTTGGAGTAGAGGATTTGCTCTTTTGTGGGCAAAGATTCGTAGGTGCTGGTGACTTCAACAGCACTGGTAGGTTCTTGCTCTGTTTGGGGTAAAGATGCAACTTCAGCAGTGGGCAATTTCTCCAATGTTTCAGATACCAGAGGAGCAGAAATGTCCAAAGTTCCAGTTAGGGTGGAAGAGGTTTCTTCAGCTGTTGCGTTGGCGTCGAGGCCTTGGGCTTGTTCCGGCAAAGATTCTTCTATGCGGGGATCTTTGCTTTGGAGTTCGACAGCACTCGTTTGGGGCAAAGAGGGAGTTTCTTCTGGAGTTGCTGCTGTCTCCAAAGTTTCGCCTGCAGGAAGCAGCTTAGGCACATTTGCTGATGACAGAGGTACGTAATTGTCCAAAGTCTCAATGAGGGTGGAAGAATATTCTTCCGCTGTTGTGCGGGTGGTAAGGCTTTGGGCTTTTTCAGGCAAGGATTCTTGTACGGCATCGGCAGGCTCCTGCTCTGTTTTAGGCAGAGCAGGAATTTCTGCTGGCGCTGCTGGTTTTACCAGACTTTCGTCTTCTGAAGGAGCAAAACCATCTTCATCTATTACATGTTTTTTGCGGATTTCTTCCTGATTTTCTACTGCCGACGCTTCATTAAGGGGATTTTCAGTGGGGGCTGCTTCAGTTGGTTTCTTCTCTGATGTTTCGGGTTTATCTGCATCTGCTGAAGATTGGGGTTGAGTTTTCTTGCTCTTTTTCTTGCTTTTCTTCGGCAACGACAACGTTGAACTGTCAGTGATGGTTTCGTTGGCGATTTGCTCCGTATTGATTGCTTCGGCTGTGACAAGTTGTTCTTCTTGAAGTTGAACAGAAACGTCTTCAGCAATGGGTGTTTTCTTGTTTTTCTTCCTCTTTTTCTTTTGGCCCGCCATTTCAGGGGCGTTTTGGCCTTGCGTTGCCTCCCGAGCGGTCGCTTGAGGTGACTCCACAGCAGCTGGTGCTTGTATGTTTTCCTCTTGTGCTGCCTTAGACACATCCAGCTTGCTTCTCTTCTTTTTCTTCTTGCTCTTCACGGACTCTGCATTTGCATCTTCGTTGGCGACAGTTTCAACCTTGCTGTCTTGGGCTGCTTCTTCGGCAGGGGGAATTTTCTGCTTCTTGCTTAGTTTGGAGGTTTTGGCATTAGATTGCAGTTCGGATTTCGCTTCTTCCGCTTTTGGTTTGCTCTTTTTCTTCTTTTGGGGCTGCAGATTTTCGTCCGGGGAACTAGTGGTGGTGGCAGCTGCTGGTGCTTCTGACTGAGTTTCGTTTGAAGACGCCCGCTCGGAGTGAGACTTTTTGGGCTTCTTCTTTTGGGCCTTGCCAGCGCTGGCTGCATTTTCTTCAACCAGGTCTGGTTTGGGAGATTCTGGCTTGGTCTCTTGCGGGAAAACTGGCTCTTGAATAACCAGCGGTTTAGTTTTGCGAGTTTTCTCCTTTGCGTGTGGCTTATTTTTCGAACTGTGCTCTAAACTCGGCTGAGTCTGAGTGTTGGTGTCTGGACTGCATTTGAGTTTCCTCACTTTAACTGCAGACTTGTCCTTATCGATATACTGGGAAGTACTGTCTATATCACTAGGGGCTTTTAAGTCTTGTGAATAAGGAATGTCAACAGCTTCTTTACCGCCTAATGGTCGATTAGGCTCTCCACGGTAAGCAAGCTGTTGAGAATGATCGGGTTCGACGCGTTTTGGTCGTTTATGACTAGATTTCTTCTCCGAAGAAATCCTGTGCGGGCGTTTGGGGTCCTCCCTCGCATGAGACATCGCTTCATCCTGAGACGTGGAAGCATATCCAGGTGTAGGAGACAGTTGTCTGGGAGCCGATCGCTGTTTCGTTGGGGGATTTGCAGTAATACTGGATGGCTGGAGAGGTTTGTCGCTGAGCCCCTGGGACAGGGCCTGGGCGTAGGAGAAGTGAGACCCCGAGGGAGCGTCCACAGCCTCCTGGGCGGGCGCGCCACTAGCCTCCTCCTCTTGTTCGACTGCTTGTATAGGTGCCGCAGCTGGTTCGGGGGCCTCCAAGGGTTGGGGGTCGCTCGGGTACTGATAGGCAACTGGTTGGGGAGCGAACGTTTGCTCCCGGACCAAAGCATAGGCGGGCGCCACCCCCGCATGGTAGGTGCCTAGGCCAGAACTCATCAGCTGCTGCCCTGAAGCAATGAAGTTGACCATGTCGGGCATGGGCTGGATATACTCTAAAATGTTCGGCTGTTGCGCCACTGGGTAGTACCCAGGGCCATATGTAGGATGGAGCTCGTAGGGGGGCACCTGCTGGTAGGGGTTCCACACGGGCGCTTGAATGATGTACTGACTGACTGGGGGCTGATATTGGGGCTCGTTGGGGTATTCCTGTTGGTGTTGCGCAGGCGAATGTTCAGGTTCTACGAGTTCGGGGGGTTCCACGCGCTTGCCCGCGCCTCTGGGCAACCCGGCAGGAGGAGCCTCCTGCTGGGCCTGCGCCTCTAAGGCTTTGCTAGCCATTTGGTTGCGCAGCACCTCCGCATAGGTGGTGCAGCCTGGCACCCACATGGGGCTTTTGGAGCGCGCGCGCACTGTGGGAGGAGCCAACTGTTCGGGCTGTTTGCGCATTGGTTGATCGGCGGGTTTGACTGGGCGTCGCCTAGGCGATCGACTCTTCCTAGGCAACGGCTTTGGGCGCTTAAATTCGTGCTGTTGGGGAAGGGGAGTCGAGCACTGAGCAGTGGGGCGTTCCTTTGATTGAGCTCGTCCGGCCGCTTTCTCTGCGTAACTAACGTCGAGTGGGGGACCGTCAATGGGAGCGTTGGGGTCCACACGACGAATTTGGGAGATCAGAATGGTGATTCGTTGCCGGCAGACCTCGATCTGCGCCTAATTCGTATTAACAATGTTAAATATCAGTATCCCGTCAAGTGTTCGCGCTAGATGGTGGCTGAGACGCGTGTCATGGTCGATGGTTTTTCTTTTTTTTTTTGGGGTGGGGAGGGAAGGGTTGGGGTGGGGGTATTGGGTCAAAATAGGGAGTTTTTTCGTGTAGAAGGGGGGAGATTCTACGTGCCAAGCGGTTCCAGATTTGGCACCCCCAGCTGCAGAATGAGCTTTATGCGTTCGTTGCGAACGGAAAGTTGATTCTGCAAAGTCCGCACGCGCTCTCTGTAACCCTGGACACGCGAACGCGGGACAAGGACAAAGGATGCAGCAAATAGTAGAAGAAAAATAAAAAAAAAAACGTTTCATCAAACAAAACAGTCAAACAAATAGGCAAACAAGAGAAAATGCGATTGTGTTCGCTTTATCTGGCTCACCCAAAGTTAACTAAACAAGCTGAGTGTAAATGAGTGTGCATTGGGTGAATGAGATAGACAGTGAACACAAACCAAGTGAAAAATGCGGTGAACTCAAGCAAAATGGCAACTACAAGCGCAGGTGTAAAAAAATTGGTAAAAAGCACCAAATTAAATGAAATTAAACTAGAACCAAATAGAGCCCGAAACCAAAACAAACACAATCCCCGCTGCCGGAAGGAAGGGGGGGCCCAAAATGGAAACACCTTGATGATCGTATCAGCCACCTCTGCAAGCGCGCTCGATGAAAACTCATCAAAATGTTTCCAGAAGTAAACGCATTTTGCTCGTTTACATGTTAATTAACAACAACAGATTTTGTCGGACTTTTCTTTACGGTACTTTGCGATGATTTTGGTAAACTACGAGAATGTTGGTTCTAAATGTTCGATTTACTAGGTTTAGCTTTCCTACCGCTGCTGTGCGCAATGGCTAGATCGGCTTTGGCATGACGCTGTAGCATCAAATGTGAACGGAAGTTTACGCATAACACAGCTACGTCCAGGTCATGCCACTTCCCTCAAAGCCTCCAAAACAACGAGTTATTCGGTTAATTCGCACACGTTCTTACCTCTTGTTCACGGGTCGCTTCGTCTCTCTCGTGCGGCTTGTAGTTGGGGGCCATTGCCGCCCTCAATTGCTGTTCAACCTGCAATAAACCCTTCCAGTTAACCTTAGTCTAGTGCAGGGTTGATTTATTTAACCCTGAAGGGATTGGCCGGAACATTACTGTTAACTATTCCCAAAAAGCAATGTGGATAATCGAGCTTTGGCCACTTGAATCTGCTTCCTGGGTCGGCATGAGAGGACAGTTTTTTGTCTGAACGCGCTTTGGAGCCGATTTTGGACGTTCCACTTGAATGGCTTCAAAGTCTTCCACACCGGACAAAATTGGTTTTCTATTTTTATACCCGAACACTCTGTATAACCGGTTTTTGAACGTCATCTTCACTCCTCCAACGTATTCGAACGACCTTTTACATGTAGAAATGTTTTTCGGGCTTTGAAGCCGTGGTCCATGGGAATTTCTTCCTGACGTTTCGTCCACAACTGCGGTGGACATTATCAAGGCTTCATCGCGCTCAAAAGCGATTTTTAATATCTGAAATTTATTTTATCAGTCCTCACACCGCCCAATATTTGTTAACGCCTTATTTTGGCTTTCTGAGATAAACTCATGAAATATGTCATGTAAATATGCGTCCGTTGCCATAGTTATTGTGTCACTGTCATTAGTGATTAGTCGTGGTGGACGGGGCTGAATGCTCGCTGCTTGCTCCGTCAAAATTTGAACAAATCCGCT